TTGAAACATTACGGAATAACAATGTGTTTGAAATAGGTGTAAAGCTTAATCTACGTCTGGTAGCCAATAGATTATCTTATGAAAATGGGCTGCGTTCAGTCGCTCTTCCATTTTGGATCGTACCTCGTAAAAGAAGGTAAGTGATAACTGAGGTGATTAATAATATTTCTATTACAAGTGCATTTTAGAAGGCTTTTCTTTGTTGAATCACTCCCCCAATTTGAACGTAAATGCCGACTCTAAAGTGGGATTGAATTTTACTGGAACGATCGCATTAAACAGTACTTAAAGCTAACAATACACCGACTTTATTGGAGATCTGCGCTGTGCCCACCGTATGTATCGACCCCCAATTTTTGTGTTAGAAACCCACAGCTTTAACACTGAGGCACGTAGGGGTGTGTGTGTAAGGAATTAATGACAACGCTTACTATATATATATATATGTATAAATCCCGAAATCACATTGCTTGTACTAATATATCTCAAAATGTACACGAATGGAACCTCGTCGTTGTTTGCTTTAAAAATTATGAAAGCTTTAACTACGCCTAGTATGTGTGTGTGACAAAGACCACGAATTTTTTTTATGTATTGAGAATATATTATATTTTACGATATTTTTGTAACTGAATGGAACATAATGAACTAGATTAATATGTAATTTTGGAACTGCACATTTTACAGTAACTGACTTACAAACGTTTCGTACGAGTGCTTCGTATTGGGTATTTACAGTTCCTAATATTTTAATGAACAGTTAGATATTAGGTTTATTAGCTATCAGCTTTACTTTTCACACGCGTTTCCCTTTCCAGTAACGAAAAATAATTAACGAGTCGAATATGTGTTCTATAATAACGTAAGAGTGAAATTGTAAGAACAAGTTCGTGTTCTATGTTTGAATATACAAGTAACATAGAGTGGAAAGTATAATATACACATACACACAAATACATATGTATGTATCTATTTACCATTCAAATTTAAGTTTAAAATATACTGAGATGACAGCTTAAAACCATGCTCCGCACAAGCACACACGTATATATATGGATATCCGAAACCACATATATATCTATGTTCAAACATACTGTTGGTGTGAACGTGCATTGTATGCACTATGAGAAAAACCTATACACTGGATAGATGAAGTGAAAAAACAGTGTCATTGGTCATATTCAGTTCTTCACATTATATAGCCGCACAATAGCAGATATAATTACAGGGTCTATAGATTTACTCAGTTCTTTGAAGGTTTTTGATATAGAATTTTATGTGCTTATTTTGATTTGTGCTGTTAAAACCTTTTTTGCCATTATTCACTGGTGCTGTTAAAACCCTTTTTGCCATCATTGACTTATGCTGTTAAAGCCTTTTTTTTATTAATTTGTTTTGAATTTCGCGCAAAGATACACGAACTGTGTTTAAAATTAGAACTATCCTTGAGAAATATTAACAAGATTGAATGCAAAATCTGTTTAGAATTAAACCTCAATTATTTTTGAATTATAGATGAGGTCTCTTACGGAAAACGGTTATTACGAAGTCTTTTATAACAGTTCGATTTCTGTATTCGTAATAATATCTGTAAATATATATATGTTAGGGCGCTTGACTCGCAATGTGAGGGTTGCGGGTTCGAATCCCCGTCCCACCAAACATGCTCGCCCTTTCAGCCGTGGGGGCGTTATAATGTGACGGTCAATCCCACTACTGACTTTTGTTTTTCTTAAAAAAGTATTTGGTAATTATCTTGTGTTCTGCGACAAGTCTGACATTATCTTGGCAGGACCAATGAAGAACGATTATGTCGTTACGTGATCTGTGTCGTCTTATCTTTTTAATCTGTCTTTCACTTTTTCTATTTATGTTCATAACTCAATATCTATTTTAAGTACCTCTTCGAGTTTTATACATGTTGCCCACATTAAGTAGAACTCAATTTGTATTTATTCAAGTAATTCATAACTATTATCATCTCCTCGCTGAAAATATCAACACTGTGTAATAACTGATCTGAGTGCTCATTATTATCTTCTTAAAGTGTATGGCTCTTATTTCTTCATAAAGTTATGAACGTTTGTAATGCCTCAAAAATCTTATAGGCATATTTTATTATTACAATAGCATGTTTTAGTCAGAATTTAAGAAATTAAATTAATATCTCTGTTTTGCAAATCCATAATGGAAATGTTCAATAGAATTAAATTTCTAAATGTATAATAATGGAAGGAAGATAACGTCTATTTACATAATTTCAGTAAATGTTTGTTAAAATATGGGTTTTTGACATTTAAGCATAGTAGTGAACATCACAGATTACATGAGATAATATCGTTCATTTTCATTTAAACATATAGCTTGAATTAACCAAGCAAGTAAAAAATACTTTGTGAGTACCATACTTTTGCTGGAAATATTACATAAATGAACTGTTAGTATACTACAAGGTCACATAAAGTGAAGATCTAGGTCACCATAAGGCATACCAAAGATCTTACTGTTGTTCCACTCGATCACATGACTAGCGGATTGATTACACGGTTCTTGGTTGGTTAACAGTAGGATGTTCAGCCAAGTTAAGCTGATTAATTAGCATATACATGAAATTATTATCATTACTAATTTTTTCTTAATTATATCTGCTGTAGATACTGCAGAAAGCTCATTTTGGGAAAAGCTTTCGTCAAAATCAGCATGGGAAAATAACGGTTAAATTTTTTCGTTTAACATTTTTTGTTTTTTTATTTAAACAATATCTTTACAAGTGACTCATTCACATAAAATTATATTTTAAGATATAAATTTATCTCGTAGAATGAAAACATAAAATACCTCTGGCTATAGGAGTGGCCTTGTGGTTAACGTGTCTAACTGAAGATCGAAGGGTCCTGGGTTCGAGATTGAATGACACTAAACACTTCACACTTTCAGCCGTGGGCAATAAAATGCGACAGTTAGTACAGTTATTCAATTCAAAAAGCTTTTGTGAAAACGGGTGCTGCTGACCAGGTGCCTTCTATCTGGTCAATGGGAAAATTAGGGACGAATATACTTTAATCCTAAAGGTCTCTAACCTAGCCGTTTAGCTACAAGGTGTGCATAAGGCGTTGTTCTGGTTGCAAGTTCCAATTTAGTGTTACAAACGCAGCAGAAAGTATACATTAGCATAGGTAATACACTTGATATTAACGTTACCATTAGAACAAAGAGATTTGTGTGTGTGTGTAACAAAAAATGTGTGTGTACCGTAATGGATTCAAATTTGGTGACGAAGAACCCATTTTTTAGAAAATAAAGTTTGGAGACGGCTTGAATGGGTAGTGAAAAACTTTTTACAAATGTACAGCGTTGTACATTAGCAATAAAGTTTCTTTCTAACCCATTCTAGCCGTCTCCAAACTATATATATATCCATCTGCCCTGTTGTTACTCTCTATCAGTGTTTTCTACATTCGTATGGTTTTTAACACATTGCTTCTACATATAAAAATTCCTGAGTGACACTAGATAATGGTTTTGGGGATTTTTACAGCATATTTAGCCTTCATTTGGATGTAACCAAAAATGTTACTTATCTACATAATTCACATCTTATTTGATCCTTTTACCAACTGAACTAGATATCTATCTTCATTGTTGTGGTGAGTACGTGCATCAGCTAGCCAAGCCATTTTCACCTGTATCTTGCTGCTTATCGGTAAACGCATGAAAACAACACAGCTGGCTATAACAAAGCCGAGGAGTGTCGTATTTTCTTTCTCTCAGCTGTTGAAATATTATCTCCACTTTTGAAAGTGCATCCGAACTCTCAAAACTGTATTTATCATGAACATGTACGTATGCCATATTCTTAGTATCAAATCTAACGACAAAACCATTTACCTCTGAACAACATACTAAAAGATGTCATAAAAACATAAAATCAACAAATACTTTGCAGGCAGACATTGATTTAAAGCTCCCGACATGGGAAGTTCCAAACTTCACAGTCCTGGATGCGCAGATAAAGCATTATACTCAATTTTAAATGGTTAATTTCTTAAATATATTAGGAGAAACTGTTGTAATTAAAAACTCATGTGATGCATCAAACCATTAATATTTGTATCCGATGAACAGAAGTGACCTAGCTTGCAAATAACCATGAATAACTATAATAAATAAACTTAGTATTCCGAAAACTGTTTAATTCCGAAGCCTAAGTTCAAGGGAGGTCCAGTTCAATCTACACTTGGATCAACGTGTGTTATTGGGTTATGCTAGTTTCGGAGAATTCCACTCCTCATCAGTAACCCTGAACATAAGCTAACCAAAGAGAGATAAGCTGGACCAATATGACAATGAAAAGTATCAAACATATTGTTGGTGTGAACGTGCTTTGTATTCACTATGAGAAAAACCTATACACTAGATAGGTGAAGTGAAAAAAAAAGTGTCATTGGATACTACATAGTTCTTCACATCAAATAAGCATGACCATTTTCTTGATCTATTCTCGAATCTTCGAACATAGATATAGAATAAAACAAATTTCGGATATTATCACACTTGTTGTTGGACTTTTGTAACCTTACTCATAATACGTTAAATTTATAATTTATCATTGTGTGCAATAAAAGCTTCTTACTCCAAAGCAATCATAAAATAATTCATTCACATTCACAATGACATATCAATACCAAAGCAGCACTGAACTACGAAGTATACGGTAATGTTAGGATAATTGTTTTCTTGTGAAGAAAACGATCACCATGTTTTTACTTAAGTTCTTCTTTCATAGAAGACTGTTTAAATGTTGACCTAGTAAGAAATCTGATAAATGTTGACCTAATTAGAAATCTGATTAATATATATATATATATCTTTTCTATATATTAGCACTAAGGCCAAAACATCGCACTGAATGTATAAAGAGTCATTATATGTATTGTTAACTTTGTCGAGGAAGTGACTAATATTTGAATATTACAAGTGTCCACATGTTTAAACTACAGGCTCCGAACAACAAACTCCTGAGGATGAAGAAAAGAACGAAAAGCCAATTTCTGCTGAAGAAGAGTTGATAAGTACAGAAAAACCAGAAACAAAGGTATTTTAATGGACGTGGAGTTGCTATTCAGCTAATAAAACATACACATATTTTTACAAATTCGTAAAACTTAAGGTTTTCAAAGTATGGTTTGATCTCTACTAAAGTGGTAGCAGGTTCGTTTGTGTATCAGCGTAAATTCAAATACAAATAATGTTTAGATAAATTAAGAAGATTTTAAGAATCACATCCTTTGTGTTGCGGCTATGGGCAAACATCATTCACAATCTCGTGTACGACACCTTGATTTTCATTATAGGGAATGCAAATAATATAAAAAGTTATTTTTAAATTTCCATTTCAGAGAAAAACTTAATGTGAACCATGATACTCGTTCCTTAGAGCTAACTAGCTCCTCCACTCACTTACAATATAATATCCGCTAAATCACAATTTACATATTAAATAGTTACCGATTGTAAGTTACCGAAACGGTTGATAGAAAACTTACATCACAGGTTGAAGTAAGAAGCAGACACATGTTTTGAAAGGAAAAGGTGGGCCTACTTAGTTTCGTAAAAGTTATTTCATACGTAGAAACATAAACAAAAACATATTGCTGTAGATAAGTATGATAAAATAGCAAAAGTATTGCATTAATATTATTTCGGTAAACTTTACACTGTATATATGTCCATAAGTGAATAATGGCTTGCAAATGGTATACCTCAGTGACAAACAATGAATCGATTTATAGATATGAATTTATATTCATTTTAGGGCCTTAAACGGCTTGTTTGCTGAATAACTTATAGAAATAAAATATTAGTACCAATGCTACGAATTCTTCAATTCATATATATATATATATATATAGGTTCATTGTGGTGAGAAAATTCCACTAAAAACGTCGTACATAAATTAATCTTTATGTTTCTGTTAACTGAAATTCTTATTTTATTCTGATTGTTTAAAACTTTGAAATTACCAGTGATTTGGAATGAAATTGCAAAAATTATTTAGCATAAAACAAAAATAATGCTAATCTGATATATCTAAGGTGAACGAGCAACTCAGTTTGAAGGTGTCCAAGAAAACATGTAGGTGAACATTGTATTTATTAAATTTGCCCGTTAAAGCAGAAATCATATTACCGCGTTGAAAATGTAATAAGAAAAGCTTAAAAAAATATAATAAAATGGTTAAAAGCGAACTGCATTAGTTGAGATAATTAACGACAGTATTCATTATTGCAAGGGCAAAAAAATATATTTTATATACATTATATATTTTTTTCATTCTCTTTTAAAAGTCAATATCATCTTAAGAATACACATCCGTTTCAATTCGTTGTATTTCTCCATTATATTCTAAAAGGTGGAGCTATAAAAAATACTGTCTAATGACTATATAGTCATGGACACGAAGATATTATTGCAACTTTATGTAATACCGTTTCTACATTTGAAATTCATATAGATGGATCTAATCAAAGCAGTTAAAACCTTAAAACCTAGTATAAAATTTTGAAACAATGAATTTTTAATCTTAATATTGACAGTATTGATAAAAATGTAATGTGTAATGAATATGTATTTAATATTCTTATGGACCATATATTTTAGAAACATTTTGAATATCATTGCACAACATCAAATTTGCCACATAAATATCAATAACTACTTGATGTAGTTAGAATGCTGTAAGGATATACAATTTTATTTGCATTTTTCTCTTAAAGGAACTTCTCAAGGAGGAAGTAAATGTAGATACTGTTCCAGGAGTCATTGCTTCTCCAGAAACACAAGATGCTCCAAAATATGAAGAAAAGTCACCAGATGTACTACAATCAACTCCTACCATCTCCTTAACTGTTCCAGATTCTGAACATGGGGGAACCCAAAAAGAGGATAAAGAAAATAAAACAATTTCAACTGAAACAAATTTTGAAAATAAAGATACGTCCGATGTGGTAGTGGAACCAACAGGTACAACTGCGCCAACTATTAGCAGTGAAACAGCTAAGGAGCCCCCTCAATCAACATCAACCCTTCCCACAAGCGATGATGTTAAATTTGAAACAACGGAGACTCTGATAGAAGCACCACAATCAACTACTGTCCCAGAAATAGAAGAACTTTCAAAGGAAATTCCACAGCCATCTTACACTCCTGTTATAACAGGCGTTAACTCTGAAACACAAGAAAAGACAGACGTGGTAGATCCTGGGACACTGTTGAAAGAGCAGCAGGTAAAACACAAGTTATTAAGCACAAATCAAAAATACCACAAGTCTAAGCACTCTGTTAACAGCTGCTTTCCCTCTACCTATCATTTCATAATTAAGGACTGCTAGTACAGATAGCCTTCGTGTAGCCACGCGCGAAATTCAACAAAACAAACAATAAATAGATTTTAGAGCTGGGAGTTGTTGTTAGATTTTTTATGTCCAATTTAATGGCCCGGCATGGTCAGGTGGTTAAGGCACTCGACTCGCAATCTGAGGGTCCAGGGTTCGAATCCCCATCTCACCAAACATGCTCGCCCTTTCAGCCGTGTGGGCGGTATAATGTGAAGGTCAATACCACTATTCGTTGGTAAAAGAGTAGCCCAAGAGTTGGCGGTGGGTGCTTCCCTCTAGTCTTTCACTACTAAATTAGAAACGGCTAGCGCAGATAGCCCTCGTGTAGCTTTGCGCAAAATTCCAACCACACCAAACTCTGTCCAGCTTATATTTACGTTTATTCACAAACGCCACCACTCGTTATAAACAACAGAAAATAAATATATTCAAAATATCAGTTTCTTGATAAACGTTATATTAATAACTTATTCTGGTAACAGATGCAGGTTTTTGAATATTGTGCTCAACTTATGATGAAGTGTTTTAATTATGTAATATATTTACAAGGTATGTCTACAAAAAGCCAAAAATACTATGATGGTAAGATTTGTTTTTAGGAAACTGCTTCTGAAACTCAGGTTTGTTTGTTTATCGTAGGAAAAACAGCTCAAAAGTGAGTCTAAAACTCTTCAAGAACAAAAGAATATTCTACCAAGTGAGACGACGGATGATGATTATGAATGGGTAGACCCACTTAGCGATCTGCCTACTAGTCAAGCTATAAGCGAGGACAAGTCCATCTCACTACAGTTTCAGGAGTTAACCTCAGATGAAGCTTCTGAAAACAAGGAAACGATCCTTTTCCAGGCAGAAGAAGAAGATAAATGTGAACACGAAATAGAATCAAAATCTATTGAGATTTCTGATCCCCGTGTCACAGAAGAAGCCACGCCATCATCTTCTTTCCCTGAATCTATATCGACTACTTCAACAATCACAAGTACGACTGACGGAATTCAAAAAATGAAAATGGAGGATAAAAAGAGCAATATTACTGAAAGTCAGATGTTAACTGAATACCTTTCGACTTCGGATATGGAAGTTCTGAATCAAACAGAAGAAAAGATGGAGTTTACTGATACTTTCAAGGAGCAACAGATGGAGATCAAGAGAGTTGAATATGTCGACAAATCCACGGCTGAAGAACTGAAAGTGGGCGATACTGTTAAAGTAGATCAAATTAACGAAGAAATCCCATTATATGAGGATAGAGAAGATAGTGGAGTAGATCCTTATGATACTCAGATTGTGACTGAACAAGAACAAATTCAGTTGGATATGCCAACCCTTAATGTTAATGAAAGCACACACACTGTTGATCCCAAGGGGTCAACGAACGAGATGACTTTAGGTGAGTGACAACACTTAATAGCCTGTTAGAATATAATCATTGTTCGACATTATTACTTGTCAGAATACTCCTTTTTCCAATTATATAACTGGTAATCTGGTTAAAATGGACTATTTATACTTTAATGCTGCTTATAAAATCACACACATAACCATTATTATACATTTTATTACTGTTGTTGTCTGTGAAACAAGTATTTTATATTATAATCCCTAAAATGAAATGTTCTGTATTTCATTATTCTTTAGACATTCCTAAAACAGAAGACTTACCAGACTATAGTGGACCACACACTCCCGAAGAAGAGGATGCTGCAGTAAAAATCCAGTCAGCTTTTCGTGGATTCATTGCAAGAAAGCAGTACTTAGAGAATAAAGTCAACTACGAACATTCAGATTTTGCACAACGAAGTGAAAATGTTCTAAATGACACAAAAATTGAGCTTCTACATGATTTTACAGAAACAGGTGATATAGAAGCTGAAAAAGAACTCAGGAAAGATAAACATGCAGAAATAATACTGAAGGAAGACGAAAGAGTAAATGTAATCAATTTAGATGAAATCAGCCCGGAATCTCTAGACGAGCCAAAGCCTGAAGAATATCCTCAGCTTGAGGATCATCTAAAGTTTATGGACAATAAAGAGGACACACAAGATTCTTTGGAGGAAGATAAGGCCGCTATACGTATTCAAGCTGCATTTCGTGGTTATAAAGTACGTCGGGAAATGAAACACGAACACCCACACATTGTATTAGATAAAACTCAACAAGGTGAAGATCAAGAATCGGAGTATAAGGAAGAAGAAGGTTTTCTAACAGAAGATAAGTGTCAGGAAGAATTACAGAAACATTTAAACACTGAACATAGTGCAAGGGAAAGCCAGAATGATAACTTTGAATCAACAGACAAATTGCTAATCAGTGAGTTTGACCAGCTTCAAAGTTTTATAGAAAGCCATTCAGAGCCAAAAATATATCTTTCTGCTACAGATGAAGGGAGTGAACTAGGAACAGAACAAAACAAACAACAGCAAACAAGCACAACAAGCTATACCAAAATAACTTCAACGTTTGGATTGGAATCACAAGAATATGAAGATACCACTGATATTCAACTTCCTACACAACAGGTATGTGAAGTAACTGAGACCACGCCCAAGTTGCAAGAAGACGATGCTCTGTTAGGTCATCCTATCATGCCTCCACAGAAAGAAGCTATAGTTGATATGACTAGTTTATTGGATAAGCAAGACCGAAATGATACCTCCAGTACTGAAGTTGGCGTGTTTGATATAAACAGCGTGAGCCAATCCCAAGTATCCAATATTGACACATCTGAGGAAATTCCTATTGTCGTGCCTTTGAAAATCACAGGTACAGAAAGCTTTCAAGAAGATACAGATGATGTAATGGCACATCAAGAACAACATGTATTACATACTGATGTCAATCAAACTAGTGTTTATTCTGCACCTCAAAAGTCATTCGAAAAAGCCATGATCATAGTAGATGAAACAGTAGAAACTGAAAAAGATCCTACTCTAATTTCTGATGAACATAAAGAAATATATAAACCGAACTCTCTGTCTGATACCACCAGTGTTTTGGAAGATTCTATAGATATTTTGAATAAACTGGAACCACAAAGTATTCCGGACAGTTCTACACAGTTTGCCAGTAGTGAGTGTGCTCCTTATACATTTACAACAAGGCTTGTTGAAGAAGATTCGAAATCAAAATGTAGTACCGATAATGCTATTGAGAATATAACAATTCCTTTCGAAACAGAAAAATCAGTAGAAAATATAGAAACTCAACAAGCTGAACATTTTGTGGAATTACAAGAAGCAGAGTGTACATCTTTAAATACAAGTGCATCACTACAGCCATTACTGGATGAAGAGCAATCAATTAGGCCCAGAGCTTCCTGTGATAATATTGAAGCCACTGAAGGGACAGCTTTTCCTGAAGTTCTTTCGGAAGAGCAAACGGTTTCCAATAAGTCCGTAACCCATTCAAATGTTTTAAAAGATCTTCAGCAGTTAATTGAAGAAGTTAAAGTATCTGATGCAGCAATAACAGAAGAGCTAAATTTGCTAAAAGAGCAGAATGAGGATAAAGCTTCACAAAATGAATCAATTGTACGAGACCAGAAAACGTTATTGAATCAGTCCTCAAACACAACCTCTCATTCTGAAGAACAGCCCACAGACAAATCTATTAATGTACAAGAGGTTAAAATGGAATCAGAACCCATGTCTGGCACATGGGTTGAAGGTGAGCAGAATGATCCATCTTCCACACCAAGTGGCCAAATCTAGCTTTTTCAGCTGTTTTAAAAAAAATGCTTTTGTGTTAACAAACACACACACACACACATATACATATAATCTTCCATGAACTTACTCTTTGTTTGGATTAAATATTAAGTGAACGATGAGACGAGAAGTATTATAATCTATTTTGTCTCTTTATTTCTTGACCAGCAACAGTAATATTAAAGGTACCTTTGTTAAAAAAAAGATACATTTTTTATCGCTTTGTAGATGGAAAAACAAAAAACTACATAGAATTGGTGAAATAATTTTATTTTGTAGTTAAATATTAAGTGTATAATTTATCTCATAAATGCTGTACTTGAATGATAAATGACACTTAGTTCCTTATCTTGCCTCTATTTGTCCATTATTCGTACAGTAGCTTATAAGAGCCGTGGATGTGCATAAAAAAGGTAATTTTCATTTTAATTTCTGAATGATTTTAAAGTCTTATTTTACATACTGTGATTTTGGTTGATTGGGTTTTCCTTTAAACAATATGTGATAACTTTTAAATTTTGCTAACAGAAATAATTAGTAATACGTTCTAAGACTAAATTTACATTTAACATATCTCTTACTTGATATGATTTAATCTGCGACTATCATCTTTTAACCATCGAGAGTATCTCATCACACTGGCATGTAAAGCCTGACCTAAGGCCCAGATGCCCATGAAAGGCTTGAGAAATGGTGTGCTTTTTTATAAGAAAAATAATTCAGAGCAGAGGTAGCTATTTACTCTACATTTATGTTGTAAATATCTGTGACTAGAAAATCGTTTTGAGATAATAAAAAAAAAACACTCCCAGAGAAAAGGTATAAAATCATCGATTAAATTACATTTAAAGGTATTTT